TCCTTACAATATAATATTATTTTTTCAGTCGCAGCATACCCATAACATCTGTACGTTCAAAAAATCTGATGTAAGCACCTGATGTTCCATGTTTTATTTTTGGAAACGAAAATATGACTTAACTCTTATCGCTGTACTTTTTCTTGCATTTTGAAAAAAGAGAATTAGAAAATTTGGAACCCGATTTTTACAGAACAACAAGCAGTTAATTACTTTCGAAGTTGAGAGATCCTATCAACAAAAAAGTGTGTATTAATACACAGGATATTGTACTATATTTGAAAATTGATTAACAATGGCAATGCTACATTAAAAATGATGACAAGAAAATATCCATTCGAAAAGGAACGCGGTTCGAAAACTCTAGAATCACATTTGTGACGGCACTCTTTTTAGTAACATCTTTTGCATGAAGCTTGCTGGTCTTACTTCCTACCTCCATGACCTGTTGCATGGGACAATAAACAGCAGGGCATGAACGACAAAAGAGTAATAGATTAGCATAGTTACCTGCGTGAAATTTTTACTTCAAATTTTGTAAGCACAGCTTCCGGTAAAATCGAAGGGCCTAACAAAGTAAAAGAAATCAACGAAAGCCTTTTTACAAAACGTAAAAGAGAAGTGGGTCATATGCTTCACCAGAGGTGATTATCTGATGTATTCGACGGAGACTGTCGAATGTTTCATTATAAGAATTGCAGGTGGAAGTGCGGTTACTTTAATGGCAGCATTTAAAAGAAAACAGACGATAGATCTATAATTATTACTAATTAAACTAAGTTCAGCCAATTATCATCTTTATTTCCACGCATATAAAATCATATCAGTAGGTATTTATCCAATGATAATGAAATATGATAAATTTTTATGGTACAATCATAATGAAATATGATACATTTCTATGTACATTGGTTTTTAACAAGAAATGACACAGGTATTTTTAAAGAAACGGAGCGGGGAGATATTAGCAATGTAGAAGCAAGCAGAATAATTATGTAATTAGCTCACCAGAGGTATTTATACCAAAGCAGGTGCGATTCTAGAGACAAGCTAATGATTGGTTAATGTTAGTTTCAGCTGCCCTTTTCACGTACCGTTACATAACATAGAAATATCTCGAATTTGGGAGAACAGATGAATTTAGGGGGAGAGCACCAAATCTAGAATCGTTAATTTTGAGGTCGCCAATTATTTTTAAAGCAGCTCTCGTATTTTGTTATATCTTACACACACACACACACACACATATATATATATATACAGTTTGACTTGATTTGTTAGCATAAACTAATATCAAACTCCTAACAAATGTTATGCGAATTATTGCTATGCCTGGACAGAGTCATACGAAAGTAAATAAAAAAAAATAAAAAAAAAAAAAAAAACTTTTTATTAAATCAGAACTTTGAACATAAATGCACGACTAGTACTTACAACCGTCGCCAGCCACTTGTTTCGAGATAATTCAAATTAAATTAAAATTAAATAGCTAGTATTCTAAGATTACACATTCCAAATTAACACGAGGTTGGCTCAAAACTTCTCACTGGCGTAACGATTTAAATGCTGGCAGCTATAATGCAAAGCCGAATAATACAATGTTATCTGAATTAGCTAACCTAGTAACGTGACCTTGAGGGACAGAACATCTTCTGAATTAAGCTCCCCAACCCTTCCTTTAAATACAACCTCTTTCTACCTTATTTACATTCTGGTAGGGAAGCGGAAACGAGAAGTGACAGTAAAGACTCAAAATACAAAATAACTGGTCAGTGAAAAATAATAATAATAAACCCACACACCTGTGTGTAGGTCTTTTACTTTTTACGTCAGGTAGACAGACAGACGGAGAGGTATGTATTATGTTCTATCTATTATATTTTGCTACTAGTACATAAGAGTATTTTACTAAAAATTATAGAGCACTTATAATAAAGCGAGCCGAAAGCTACAGTGAATCTCAAAATGATAGAGCCATTATGAAACTGAATATTCTATGAAACTAAAAATTTATATGCAGCAATTACGGAACGAAAATATATTCTATTAAGATTTCACAGCATACAAAATGATACTTTAATGATTAAAGTATCATTATTATTATTATAATTACGATTAATGTTTAATCTAACCACTTGAGTAAAGCGAATGCCAAAAAAATGTATTTGCATGCGTACGGGTTCGAAATGGATTGAATGCGCACAAAACCGATGATAGCTTGATAAAATTTATTTTTCCAAAAGAAAAAATTCGCAGTTCTGGAACTTTCCAAAAAAAGTATCTAGAATTGCGGAATTCCGAAACACGAAATACAGTTCTTTCTTGTCCCAACAGTAACGCTCTTGGCTTCTGCTAACTCGAAAATTACTATCAAAGAAAATTAAAAGCTATGAAAAGTATTCATATTTTCTAATATACCAGATGTAAGGCATGGCTAAGATTAGAAAAGTTTGAAGAAGTGCTACGAAAGTGGGATGAAGAACTTTTGTCCGAAAGATTTTGTTAATCGGCAATTTCACTATTGATTGAAGCATATATTGAATATACAGATTTCAAAAAAAGGCATTATTTTACAGCGCCCCGCATACAAAATATCTGTCGTTCGGTTACTGAACTAAACAGTGATAAAAAAAATCTTAAGTACCTTCACAAAAGTCAGCCCATTTTACTTCCTTTACAGGGGTATAACAAAACTTTTACCCATCTTAATGCAATGCTATTATATTAAAACGGAAACATCTTGGTGTCTTGTTACAGAAGTCAAAGCTTGAAATTATTTTTGGCATAATAAACCAGTAAAGGTTATTGAAGAGGAAAAAACTGAAAATGAGAATTGATCTGTCGTCAAATGGTTCGTGAAAACAACATTTGAACATTTTTAGAACGCGATTTGCAGCTTTTTTACATGTGATAATGATGATCTTACAGGAGAAGATCTAAAGATAGCGTGACAAAAATTAAACTGAAAAATATTAATATCGAATATTCTTCGACTGGTGCTGAGGAAGTAGCTAAAATAATGGAACACCCCATGGGAAGTGAATTCGTTATCACTGCTGATACAAAAACAGGATACATGCCATTAGTGGTCACACAATCCCTATATTAATGAACATATTTCAGTTTTTGGATAAAAATATCAGTAAAAGCTTCTTGTAATCTGAATTATGATAGAAGAAGAGTATAGATTTTTTTTTGTGCTCAGACATTGAGTAAAAATTAAAGATAAATTTATCATTATTTTTTATTCTTAAATTTTGGAATCAGTTGATATCTGTTGTGCATAAAATAATTACTTATAAATATGCATTTTAGAGGTATAGGTATTTCATAGGAATGGTTTCTAACCTGAAGTTTATACTAAGTAATTTAGTGTGTAACTTCCTGATGGTAAAACTGAAAGTAATGAAAAACTATACTGACGGAAAAAATTCCAACGGAAAGAAAAAATTTATGTAGAGTAAAGAAATTTCAGAAATTCATTTGTCTAGGTAACTTATTTAATCGTTTAAACTTTCAAAATCACATCTTAATGCAAGCGCGAGAAGAACTTTTTCAAATATGAAATGCTGGTACATTAATAACCGGTGTTAGAGCCAGAAGTTTGAAAGCAAGCATGCAAATGTACATGCATAGTGTGGTACAGGTGTCAGATGTCAGTTTGCCGAATGACGTTTCATATCTGTTGCACTTGATCGGTCAGTACAGTGACGATTAATGCTGGTTGTGGATCAGCATCTTGGGTTACATCAGCGGTATGATGGCGAGCGTTATCCTGTTCGATAACACTTCCTTGAAATCTGTTATCTGTTCATGAATGGCAACAGAACAAGTTGAATCCCCAGACTGACGTACACATTTGCAGTCAGTGTGCGTGGGATAACCACGAAAATGCTCCTGATGTCATATGGAATTACTCACCAGACAATAACTCCAGCTGTAGGTCCAGTGTGTCTAGGCCGCAGACAGATTGGTTTCAGGCTCTCACCTGGCTTCCTTCTAACCAACACACGACCATCACTGACACCAAGGCAGAACCGGCTTTCACCAGAAACCACAGCAGATCTCCACTCCGATCCTCCAATGAACTCTAGTTTGACACCACTGACGTAGCAAATGGCAGTTGTTTGGAGTCGGTAGAATGCACGCTATAGGGCATCTGGCTCGGAGCTGTCTTTCAAGTAACCGATTTGTAACAGTTTGTTGTGTCACTGTGGTGCCAACTGCAACTCGAAATTCAGCTGCAGATGGAGTACGATGCCCCACAGACATACGCCGAACACGGCGTTCTTCCCTCTCAGTAGTGCCCCGTGGCAGGTCAGAGCCCAGTCTTCTTGAAACAGCACCTTCCCTTGACCACTGCTGCCAGTAACCATGCATAGTGGATACATTTCTGTCAAGTCTTTCTGTTATATAGAAGAACGAAAAATCTGTCTTCTTGTAGCTCTATTACATGACCTCGTTCAAACTCACCGAGCAGTTGACAATGGCTTCTTCGTCTTCTTAAAGGTATTCTTGACTAACATCAACTCACTAAGTCAAATCTCAATGATAAATAACGTTCAGAGCTTTGCAGCGTGTATTTAAAGCAAAACTGATTTGCATATTCACACTGGCGTTACTAGCGCCACACTTACGCGCCTAGCGCGAAATTTGAATAAACGTCATTTTTCAGATGTATAAACACGCCTAACAAATTATGTCTAGCACAACTCCTTCTCGGTGTTGGGATTTTTTTTTCATTGTTGTATTTAACAGCCATGAATTATAATAATCTTAATTTATATCTAGAATGTTTTTTGTAATTAATATCATTATTCACGTTACTTTACAGCTGAGAATTAACTTATCAGTTTTTATTATTCATCAGACAATTTTTATGGTTCCCCCCCCCAATTATGCGCTTATCTTAGGGGATCGGATTTAGAGAAACAAAATGTCAATACTTTTGAAGTTCGTTATAAGGTTTTTAACTGTATTCATAAACATTTAAAACTTACCACATGTTTCTTCATCTGTGCCATCCTGGCAGTCATCTTTCCCATCACAGACTAATTTTTTTAACACGCAGTTATTATTATGACAAGTAATTTCGTCATCTTTACAAATATCTGTAAAAAATGTAATAAATATCACAAGGGTTAGGGAAAGGCAAATAACTTTCTTTTATTAAAAATATTCTACAAGGAAAATTTCAAATTAAATATATTTAATTTTTGGTGCACCACAAGTAAAATCGTTAAATCATAAGCATATTGCTCATGGAAAATTCGTTTAACTTAAACAAATTTGCCTAGCGAACATAGTTTCATAAAATACGGGTAAAACCATCTAAATGTATTTTTGCGGTACCATTATCGATGTATTCAGTTTTCTGTTTAATATTAATAATTTGAAGGATAAACAGAAGTGGCACTTCGTTTCTAAAAATTTCCCAATTCTGCTTTCCTCTCAGCCATTTATATTTATATTTATATAGAAAATATCATTACCTTTAAAAGCAGCTAGCTCGGGTACTGGAAAAAAAAAAAGCAGTTGCACCACGAATTAGTAGGTAAAAACCTTCTTTTATTCTAACGAATTATTTTTAGTTCAACTTTCCTTCCCGATTTCAGTTTCCTGCCGGAATGTAAATTTTAATGGCGTAGTATGCAAAATCAAAGTGTGTTCAGAAGCAGTATTTAAGCTGCGTTTCAAGAGTTCGTGAGGAGTAATGGCGGAGTTAGCTCCGTGTTTAAGCTGCGCGTTTGAAATTAGCGCTCTTGTTGGTGCTAGCTACACTTTCAGATTATATTGATATTCTAGGCTTGGCTTTGATGTGTGCAGCCAATTTAGCGGTATAGATAACTAAGGAGCCAGTCGTTAGCCATCCTAATTTATTGTGATTTTCCTTCTTTTAGTTTCTGTTCAATTTAGTTTAGCCACAAGTGGTGGTGAATTGTGAGCAGCGAGTGCGTGCATCTTGTTACTTTAGTTCAAATAAAAAAGTTATTTAGAACTTCTTCTTTGGTATGAGTTCTTCAAAGACATAGCAAAAATTCGTTATTTCCTTTTCTACGTAGGTCTACAATCTATGCTTCCAGAAAGACAGAGACTCTATAAGTAAATTAGCAGATGATATGACTAGTTTTTAATATGATTTGAAATCGCGTTGAGTGTAATCTGAACATGAAATGCACATCATCATTATTGCTGAATAGATCACATGTTCAGAAAAGAAAATCAACGGGCATAAGAAAGAGAAACCGTTTGTTAAGATATTAGCCACATGGTACAGACTGAGATATGCTCCCTCCTTTCTAGTAGATATAGTTCTTCAATACGATACCGAACTGTGACCTATCGGCTGCTGTGAGCTATCCTAATTGCAATCGCCTCTTCTAGAAGTAAGACTTCTAATCACCTAATCTTCTAATAATGTTGACTACCGAAAGCTTATTAATTCCACAATTGGTAGAACAAACTAAAAATAAAGCTGCACTATCTGTTACACTAAGTGTAACAACAGGATAACTGCCTTTTTACATTCTACAAATGTTTATACGAAAAGACAGCAGCAATAGCAGTATTAGTTTATTCCAAATCGTAAACGTTAAATATTACGTACCTTCTAGATGGAATTGTATGCTCACTGGAAAGAGCAGCTTCCAAACAACCTTGCTTACACACTGATAGTTTCAGCCACAAGTCAACAGACATGCGGACAGAAAAAAACAGAAGTCTTCTTTTACACCCTTTCCCCGCGCAAGACTAAATATATAAGAATATAGTAAAACTGTAATTTTAATTCGAGAGTTCAGAAAAAAATTTAACTCTGTTTAAGACTTAAATGAAATCTCAGGTAAAAAAGTGGTTTGAATAATTGCAAAAGAAGTGGTCCATTGTTAATGAAAAGATATCCTTATACAGATAAAGGAAATGAGAAGTACCAATTAAACCTAGCAGCAAGTGTCACTTTATGTACGATAGGTTTCACCATGTCATAGTCTATCTCACCTAACATATAAATAGGGTGACCTCTAATGTACTGTTATAAGTGTGCGGTGCACTACGAAAAATTAATCTAACGTTACTAGTCTTTAAGAAATTCTGAAGAGAAAGTTTAGATGCTTCTTTTCAGTATTTCGACATTTTTATTCATTTGTTCTTCATCAGAGACACAAACTTCGGATCAGGACTATGGGGTTGCAAAGTAACTGATGTGCTCAAACTGTTGAAGAGCTTTCAAATAAAAAAAAAAAAAAAAAAAGACTGAAAGAAGACGGGGAAGAATCCAATAGAAATGAAGTTAAGACCTAATATTTTATTTAAAAAAACTGATTACACTATCGGTAACAAATTTAAATATGGGCGAAATTGTTAAATATGAAGAGGGTTTGTTGTGCACGAAAATGAACGAAATTAAACTAAAAAGCAAAGCAAAATTTTAGCGAATTAAGTAATGGTATCTTAATATTCAATGAAGCAAGAGAGCAGAAAGAAGAGATTTAATTGAGTAGGATTTTAATAAAGTCGATTACAACATGTCTAAGAGTTAGCCAAATTAGCACAAGGGAAGTGGGAAGAAATAAAAAGTAAAAATACACTTCCTTAAGATTAGAGAGAGAAATAAAAAAATAATTGTCAATAGCTCAGGAAACAGGAGAAGAACATAAAACAAATTAAATAAGTAAGTAAGTAAGTAAGTAATAGTGCATGCTTATTATCACGACGTTCGTTACTTAAATGGCTCCAAGATTATCGCCCAAATTTTATTTAAAAATAATTAAGAACTTACATGGCTGTTTACTTTTCGCTTCCTCTTACCAGCAAAAAATAAATCACAGATTTTTTACGAATGTTATTCAGAAACCATTAAACAAGTCATCAGAACATACTATTTTCGCTTGCAACTTATCACGTTGTACCTACAAATGATTTCGTTGATTTAGAGTTCCATTTCGAAGCAATTTTCACGTATTCGAATGCGAGGTGAAATGTCTCTTTTATGGGAGAATGATGCAACGTCTTTCTTACTCCTTGCTAAATAAAAAAATTGTTAACACGTTTAGGGTATAGAAATGCAAACAAGGTAGAAATGCAGTGATAATATGCAGCCTAATCAGAACTCTTCTCGTGAGGAGTGGAATATAAGAAACAATAATACGACTGCACCAGATTGTGTTTTCAGGTTCATAATTTTAATTAAAATTGTTTGCACTATAATGGGAATTTAGTTTTGGCAGTTAAATATTATTTTCAGTTCTTATTGTTAGCATTTCTACGGCGTCCTACTGCTATGCCTCCATCTAGTATCACAGGCTTTCCCTACATAAAAAAAAAAAAAAAAAAAAAAAAAAAAAAAAAAAAATTGAAACGAAGCGATTCCTTTTTACGAAAGCTTTGCGGATACCAGTTTCTGAGAGCAGTATATTACCAACAGTTGCTCTTCTGTTCTAAATCCACTTTGATGAGGAGAGCTACAATTATTCCTAGACCAGGTGAGTGTTGACCATCTTTAGTTAAAGCGGTGGGGCGGAAATTTAAAATTAATAAGTGAGTTTTATTGTTAAACCTTGTAGGTATGCATTATTATTTGGTCATCCACTATGGTCATTCCTTATGTTTGAACCGTAATGGTCTTAGAAATTCGGAGATTTACTTCATTATTCATAAAACACAATTTTTTACTAACCACTAATTTAGATGATTAGTGAGAAGTTTTGCTTAAAAAAGGGTACCGCGAAATAATTGAATTTATTAAATTAAGGTGACCCTACATCCCGAATTTCCAGTTCCTGTCCCGATTTTTTACAAGTTGTTCCGTCCCGAATTTACAGCATTTATCCCGAAAACAGTAATGTGAGAAGTTTAAATGCATATATTTATTGAAGTAGTGTAGATTTCAAACTGAAAACACAAGCATAAGTTAAGAGACGCATGCCATAACGGCTGCATAAACAGGTGGCTCCCCATCTAGCCTTCACCTTAGAAAAATTGTAGGTGACGGATTTCTATTTCCTGCTCCTGTATTTCTGTTCCCTTCCTCCAAAATACACGAAATTTTTGCTCATATTTGCAGTTCACTTACAGACAGAACTGCAATTTTTGATTGATATATTAATCCATTGTGATTCGAATTAATACATTGAAAATGCAAAGGAGTGACCAGAAAGTGATGAAATTCGGCAGACAGAGAGAGACAGCAACGAACAATAAGTGACCTCTGTTACGAAATGATATGCGTAATACAGAGCAAATGAGACGATGACGATTCAGTTGATATTATAGACCATGGAGCAATATTCGCCAATACAAAACATAAATAAATAAATAGAAATCTTCATATTTGTATAATAAAATTTCCTTACGAATTATTGCGAAGATGGACATACTTTGATCACGAAAGCTAGTGCCAAAGACTGCGCGAATTCCATGTTTATGAAGGTGAAGCATTTCTTGTTATTGTTCTTCCTGAAGGTTAGCTATCCTACCAAGAAATAAACGTCACTGATTGGGCTGGGGATGAAAGATAAGATGCCATCAAAATGTCAGTGTTTGAGCTTATCACTATTTTCCGCAAGCGTGGAAACGCGCAAATATCTTTCTGATTCCTAAACCTGGAAAAGCGCATGAAAACCCGGCAAATTATCGGCCAATCAGCCTGTTATCATCAATCAGCAAAATACTTGAAAGAGTGATTTATAACAGACTGAGCAGCAATTTACAGTGTTTAGTGGATCACCAATACGGATTTAGAAAGACTTCACTTCGACCCAGCTGGTTTGCCTCATTGAATTCGTCAGTTGAGCGATGCACAATAAAATGAGTGTTGCTATCCTGATACTGGATGTGGAAAAAGCTTTTGGCCACATTACACAGAAAGAGACGCTTGTAGATGAGGCATCCATATGTCATCTCATCCGGCTTAACTTGCCTGGAGAACTGATCCTGATGATTAACTCTTTTTTGGAAGAGCGCACATTCAGTGCAAAAGATGGAAATATGATCTCTAGTGTACAACATTTCCAGGCTGATATTCCACAGGCCAGTACCCTTGGCCCGATACTTTACATCTTATATGTAAATAATTTCTCAAACTTTGGAGATGATACAAATATCATTCTAGCCA